GTTCCAACTCACCTCCTGCAAGCCTGCACTCTCCCGGTTGCTTCAGCAGCGTCCGCGTGGCACTCTGCTGTGCCGCGCAAAGCATCTGCACTTCAAAAGCAGAGTATAAAGGTGAGTATGGGAGGCTGGGCAAGCAGGTGGCCCAACAGCAGAGCGGTAGAATACCACCACTGATTACTATACTTAATGCATTAGGGAAGGCTGTTCTACAATAACCAATTTCATCCTGGAGACAGTATCTAGGTTGTTGCTAAAGATGACACCAATTTGATGGCTCATAATAATTAAATCAATCACAAAATTGCCTGATTGTATTATGCACTGTAAGAATTTAAACTGTAAAAGTGGGACTTAAAACACAGAAGATCTAAACCAAAAGATAATTAAAAGCACCTCCTTGCATATTTTGGTTACCATCCAAATTCCATTCTCCAAACTGATTTTGTTTTCTTAAATATATTTCATCACGGCACAATTAGAACTGTTTTCTGGTCCATCATGCACAATATTTAAATCTAATGTCTGCAGAGACAACCATATATGGATCAATGTGTACTAAAGGATGTGAAATATCTCAAAGTTGTGGATCATCTATAAATAGTGGGGGAATTCAAGAAGCAAAGAAAAAGGCTTCAAAATAAGACAATGTTACAAAATAAATTGCCAATCTGAGCAAAAGTCTAAATGAAGCATTTAGTTAGGAAACTGAACGGTAAAATTGTATGCCTGTATTTATTCCTACAGGACCCACGTTTTTGGATAAGCAACTAAGATCACACTCTGTGTTACAGGCCTCTCTTTACAATCCTCACAATGACAGATTTCAACATGAAAGTACCGGATGAAATTACGGAAATACAATGTATCTGGAGGGCATCAATTCAAGTAAGGTTAATCTATGACATTTATTCAGCTGTAACCAGATTGTAGCTGGGATGATTAAGGAATGGCAGAAACTGCAGGAACTGACAATTTGCCTGCAGCATTCTCCTTTGCCAAAAGGAGAAAAGAAAGGTAGAACTCTTTCTTCTACCTGCTACTGACGCTGCAATTGCTGCAGCTGCATAAATTTTGAATTGCTCATGCTCAAATATTAAAGCAATTTCAGTTATAGATAAAAGCCTCATAAATATGTTCATTTTGAACATTATATTGATAAAATGATTGCCACAGAAAGGGTAAAGCTTATAAGGATGTTTCCCCATTTTCCCATGAGAAATCCTTTGTTCGAAACAACACAGTCTTGGTGCATTGCATTACACTTTAAGCACCCTGGCACTAAAATAGATAACAATAGATTTTCAAATTTAAAGACAAAAATCACAGCAAAGTGGATTGAACTGACATGGCCCATGCTTGGCTATTAAACAACATAGAGAAGTCCTTCAAACACATTAAGAAACTAGCTGGTTCTGTCAAGAGGTCTACTGAGCTACTACTGACAATACTCTGAATATTGATAAAATAGATGAAGCACTGATAGAATGATACATTTTTGGAAGAAATTCAACTTTAGAACATCAGTACAAAGAAAATGCATATTTTAGCCTCAGTGGCGCAGTGGTTGGAGTGCAGTATTGCAAGCTACTTCTGCTGCCTGCCAGCTGCCTGCAATTTGGCAGATCGAATCTCACCAGGCTCAAGGTTGACTCAGCCTTCCATCCTTCCGAGGTGGGTAAAATGAGGACCCAGATTGCTGGAGATAATATGCTGATTCTGTAAACTGCTTAGAGAGGGCTGTAAAGCACTATAAAGCAGTATGTAAGTATAAGTGCTATTGCTATATCCTAGTGATCTTAGGATATGGAAGGTGTGTTTCAGATACTTAAAACTATTATCTGTTCCACTATCAAAACAGAATTGAAAAAAAAATATTTATCTTTGCTCTTTTTTGGCTTAGGCCATGACGATCTAAATGACCCAGCTAATTCTTTGTCACATTAAAAATTATTTTTATTTATAATTTTAGTCTGCTGCAATTTAAAACTTCTTTAGACTCAGAGAGCAATACAAGAGTCTCAAAGCCCAAATGGCACATGTGCTGCATGAAGTTCATTAGCTTAAGGATACAAGACTTTTCATATACAGGTAGTCCATGACTTACAATAGTTAGTTTAATGACCATTCGAAGTTACGTTGAAAAAAGTGACTGATGATCATTTTTCAAACGTACAAGTATTGCAGCACCTGCATGGTCATGTGATTAAAATTCAGGCATTTGGCAACTGACTCATATTTATAACAGTTGCAATGTCATGTGGGATCATGTGATCACCTTTTTTGATCCTCTGACAAGCAAAATCAATGGGAAAGCCAGCTTCATTTAACAATCATGTTACTAATGTAGCAACTGTGGTGATTCACTTAAAAACTGTGGCAGGAAAGGTTGTCAAATGAGGCAAAGTTCATTTAACAACTGTCTCACTTAGCAACAGAAATTTTGGGCTCCGTTGTGGTCGTAAGTCAAGGACTACCTGTATTGATACAAAAGTGTCTAGTGACACAAAAAGTGAAGATGATAAAGAGCATCATAATGTGCAACTAAACATAAGTTAATCAAATAAAACATTCTTACTGTGAAACAGAGTTGCAAAACAAAGCCATTTGTTAGCTGATAGAATTAATTACTAACCAGAAGACCTATATTTGGTTTAGTTACCAGGCTGACATATATTTTTTTCCAAGATCAGTACCTACAAAGTATTATTGCAAGCCACAGAAATTTACTTGTAGTGCTACAAGCGCCCATAATTTATGAATTTGAGTCTTTTGCTGTATGTATTTTTGCTGTATGTATTACCTGAGTTAGGGTCCTATGTTTGACATTGCAATTAAATAATGGACTCCATTTTCCTATGAGTTTTACTAATGAAATTCTACTTTCTAGGTTTTGTAATTTTTTTAAAGTAGAATCTATCTCAGTGATGACTCTTATTTATTTATTTTATTTGATTTTGTCAATTGATTATAAGATAACAGGTATAAGTATAAACATAGTTATGAATACATGAAATGGATACATATAAGAAAAATAAAAAGTATCAATAGGACAGGGACAGTAGGCACGTTGGTGCGCTTATGCATGCCCTCTACAGACCTCTTAGGAAAGAGATTATAGTTTTTGGGGTTTGGGGAAGAAACCACAGAGTCAGGTAGAGTATTCCAGACATTGCCCACTCTGTTGCTGAAGTCATATTTCCTGCAATCAAGTATGGTGCGGTTAACCTTAAATTTGTATCTATTGGACTACTGGTTTGAGCTTCTTTGGCGACGAACCGAAATCCGCGATCATGCACAGTTTCGATCCATGCTCAGTACTGGAGCCCCCCGAGCCAGCTGGATTCAGGGCTAAGCCATCCCGTAGAGGTGGTGAAGAGGGGGGAGACCACCAGCAGGGTCAAGGAGAGCTGCATCTCTCTTCCTCAGCTGGCCATTACTCCCTTTCCCGAAGGTGGTTGTAGCAGTGGTCAGAAATGGCCACCTCAAAGAAGAACATGACTGGAAAAGAATGTGCAGGAGGAAGATAAAAAGAGATCGTTTTGGTTGACCAGGTTAAACTGAAAAAGCAATAACGTAAGGTACCCTGGAATTTGAACTATAAAAAATAACATTGTTCCCAAAGAAGACTTTGAAGCAGCGAAGGAGAGAGGGAAGGGAAAGGATTTGGCTCTTTTTTTCCTTCCCTTCCTTATACTGACAGCTGTTATGACTCCCCTTCAAATTCAAGCGAGCAAAACAGAAAGCAGCCGTTTCAGAAGTAATTCAAACAGAATAAAGTCTCACAAGATAACGGCTGGCAGAAATCCCAATCCACAGCATAAATCTTTACTCTGTCCGGCAAACCAGTCTTGGCAATAAATCTCAAGCCTCAGAGCTTCGGCTGCAATGTCTTCACTCTCAAATAGTCACTTTGCTGCTGGCGAATTCCACCAGGCCAGCTGTGTCCTTTTATACTTAAGCCACGTGCTAATTACCCTAATTATTGGCTCACTCTTCTCTTTCTTTCTAACTGGGTTTGTCTCCTTAGTCGTCTCCTGTTCCTAACGTCTAACCATAAGTTTTCCAGATTCTCATCTCCGCTGGAAAACTCCCTCCTTCCTTCCCTGTCATCCATTCCCGGCTGCTGATCAGATAAACAACCAGAGGAGGTCGAAGGTTCTGACCACTCTAATATTTCAGGTCTGTCATCCCTTGTTACCTCCATCTCCTCATCCTGGTTACTATTCCAATCACTCAGCAATGCCGGTTCATATTTCTCTGCCATGTCTTCCTCACTTGAACTCATATCTGCCACAGGAGCAGAATCCAAACCCGGAGCCACAACAGACAGCTAAGAGATTTAAGTAAGAAATTGACAAAAATCCACTTTGATATCAATAGGCATTTAAGCTGAAAATAAAATGTCAAAGGGATCATAAAGATTTTTGGATACTCAAAATCCTTTAAAAGCAGGAAAGGAGAGAAAAGGAAAGAATAAAAGGGCGGGATCTGGAAAAATGGAGAAGACTGATGAGCCGTATTCAAGTATTGGTCTAGCAAATGTTTTGTACGCTCTAGTTAGTAGTGTGATATTACCAAAGAAAAAGCTACATAGGATTAGGTTAACAACTCTTAATGCCTTTTTGGCTATGTAGTTACAGTGGGCTCTAGCACTTAGATCATTAGAGATGAGTATTCCAAGGTCCTTGACATAGTTGGCGTCATCAACAAGGTCTTGACTATTCAGCTTGTATTTTATTTTCTGAATTTTTTTGCCAATATGTAAGACAGAGCATTTATTTGTTGAGATTAGAAGTTGCCATTCATTTGACCATTCTGATACATAGTCAAAGTCTTTTTGAAGGGTAGCAGTATTGTTGGTCACCCTGAATTTTTACTTTTTTTTTTTTCCCCCTTTGGCCTGCAGCATTCAACAACTCTTTTCAACACATTTCTATCCTAGCTAAATAATTGCCATGGCAAATTTGTCCCCTTCTCCCCCACTTCACCTAGCAGTTTACCTTGCAACATGGCAGAGGTGGTATAGTAATTGAAAGGAACATTCTTCACCAGGTACTGCTCGGAATCCAGGAAAGACAGCTTATCTCCGACAATCACAGACTTTCCCGTGCCTGCATTTCCCACCAGCATGACAGGCCTGTGTGTCTCCAAGAGATGGTCCATGAAATAGCGCAGCCGGATGGTTTCATTGGTATGAACCAGACAGGCCTGAAAGGGATATGAGAGACATTTACTAGGAGACTCCTAAAATCCCAGCCACAGAAGTCAGTAAGTGGCATTGTATGACAATATCTCATGAGCTCCTAGCTAAGATTCTGTGCAGTTCAGAGAACCCCAAATCCCACTCCTGTCTGGCCCTGCCCACCCCACCCCACCCCTCCCCTCCCAGGAATCCCCACACAGCCTGTTTTGGATACAGGTAAGTGCAATGCGCATGTGGAGGCTTGAGGAGGATGAAAAATGGGGCCATTTCTAGCTTCCAGAGAGCCTCCAGAGCCCAAGGAGGGCATTTTCGCCCTCCCAGAGGCTCGAGGAAAGCCTCTGGAACCTAGGGAGAGCAAAAATGCCCCCCCACCATGGTGCAGGAGGCCCACTAGGCCACGCCCTCCATGGCCATGCCCACCCAGCAACAGAGCAGAGAACCCCTTGCTAAAATTTTTGAAGCCCACCCCTGCTCAAGGGCAATTATTCTTATACTCCCCTTATATTTCAATAGAATCAATCATATTCAAGGTGTGGAATACAGATAGTCCTCAACTTGCAACCACAGCTGGCACTGGATTTCTGTTGCTAAGCAATGTAGTCATTAAGCGAATAATCATGTGACCAGGTCCCATTTTACAACTATTTTTACAGCAGTCACTAAGCCAATCATATGGCTGCTGAGTGAATCACATGGTTGTTAAATGAATCTGGCTTCCCCAACTGACTTTGCTTGTCAGAAGCTGGTTGGGAAGGTCACAAATCATGATCGCCTGACTAAAGGACACTGCAACTCTCATAAATGCAAGCTGGATGCTAAGTGCTTGGATTTCAATCATGTGACCCAGCAGGTGGTGCAAAGGTCATAACTTCAAGGACAGATCACGAGTCACTTTTTTCCAAGGCTATCATAACTTTGAGCTGTTGTTAAACAAACAGTCATAAGTCAAGGACTACTTCGATGTGTGTGGTGTCTTCTTTGACATCTTTTCTGTTATTTTCCAAAGACTGACCTTCGAATCAGGCTCTGAGTTCCAGTGATATGACACCACTAGATAGCAAGTTCAGAATCAGGATAAGAAACATAGGGGGTTTTTCTATCAATTTAGCAGTAGGTTTCTTCTACTGAGAATTCTTTTTGTTTGATTGGCTCATGGCTAAGCTTCTTTACATTTTTAATATTTTGATTTACCAATATTCTCATCCAAATTAAATTGTGCAAGTGATGTTCCATCTAACTCCAGAAAAAGTGTACACTATCCCCTAAATCAGTGTTTCCCAAACTATTTCCTTCATTACTCAAACCTGCTGGTCAGGAAGTCTTTATTTAAATGTCCCTTTCGTGACTGAGTAATGGGTTTGTGTGTCATTACCCAAAGAAAAATCACTTTTATGCAACTTTGGGTAATTTAGGTGCTTACCACAGTAATTTCTCTATTTTCTCACAATAATAACAGAGGTAATTTTCAGCAAAATATTATGTAATGGCTGCATCTAACAGGATTTGTTTCCTGTTTCCAAAATTCACAGTGACCCTCCCAAAAATTACTGGAGATGGGATCACTTCAGTTGTATTCTTACTATCATCAAGACAACAAATGGAAATCCAAACACTAACTGTAGAATGTCTGTAAAGACTTTTAGGCTAAAACTGGCCAAATTACAAAACCTCTCCCTCGCTGTCGAGAAAGCCAAAATTGCAGGAAAAAAGAATGACCTGGTTTGCTTTTTTTGCCTCCCTAAATCATGCCAGCCTCATTCTTCTCCTGTCACCAGCTTGAGAGTCAGCATTAACTTGAAGCAACTGCAGAGCCTCAAGCAGAAAAAGAACAGTTCAAGATATCACTGCTACCAAAAGAAACAGATGCTGCTGCATGAACCATGGATGATGTATATACCCTCCCTGTCCTGTGATTTCTTTACCTTAAGAAAGTGGTATGTATAAAAGGCAGCAAGCCTCCCATATTTTTCTAATTTAAGGCATATAATCATACCATAATTATAAATTTAAATAAATATGTTATAAATAACAATAAATTATAAATTTGAACAATAATAGTAATACTAATATCACATGGAAGGAGGTTAAAACTATCCTGATGAAACTATCCTTCAAAAGAAACTCAAATACTTTGGCCATCTAATGAGAAGGAAGGACTCACTGGGGAAGAGCCTAATGCTGGGAATGGTTGAAAAGAAGAACGGGATGGCAGAGAGTGAGGTGGCTGGATGAGATCACCCAAGCAGTTAGCATGAGCCTAAATGGACTCTGGGGGATGGTAGAGGACAGGAAAGACTGGAGGAACACTGTCCATGGGGGTCAGGCAATGGGTCAGGCACGACTTTGCAACTAACAATAACCACAATGGAAACACATGGAGTCAAATTTGGCAAGAAAACAGCAATTTCTTCATTATTATGATTATATTTATTTGTGCGTTACACAATACACAATGTGGGTGCCAAAACTGAATATAAGCAGAGGAGGAAAAGGAAGAGGAGAATGGATTTAAAAACTGGACTGTAGTGGAGTTTCTTTGAAACAGCATTCCTAGAAAGAATGGCCTACATATTCCTTAAACTAATAAAGATGATAATGGAGTAATTGCTGTTTTCATGCCAAATTTGGTCCCTATTGCCTGTGTTTCCACTGGATTAAATCAGAACCTGTGATAGCAATCACATTTTAATACAATTAGACAATAAAAGTACATACATAACATTAATAAAATCACATACCACACTAAGTTCAAGGTCCACAGGTTGTTCTTTCAGGTACACGCTGTCTCTCTCTTATGACACAGTTCAGATCTCCAAGTTCTCACCAAATGATTTCCGTATCAATTTGTAATAAATAAACTGATAAATCCTAACAGCTTATCAGTATATTTTGAAAAATAGACAACTAGGCTTCTCAGTGTAAAGACTGGCTTCAAAAATAACATGTAAATAAATAATTAATTTGGAAACTGATCTCTCACACATTCTTTTCTGACTATGTTTGGGCCTTTAACATTCTCGGTCTCATATACATGTATAAATGTATTACTCACCTGTAATGGTATTTCTCGGTCAAATTCAAATTTGGGAATCATTTTGGACCAAGGTTCAATTTTTTTTGTTTCTGAATCAATATAAAAGTCAAAAACTGTTCCTTGGGAAGGAAACTTGATGGTCTTGAATTCAGTCATCCACCATTTACTGAATTCAACTCTGTAGTCTATAAGCTTCCAAAAAAATAGAGAAAATACGTTTTAATGAATATATAATTTTTGTTTGATATATTATTTTAATAAATGCTGAAAGGCAATCCAGTGAGTTGTTATCTGAGAATCAAATCCTATACTTACAATTTGTTTGAGGTATTGGATATTTACTTATTGTTCTAAGTTTGGGGACAGATCTTTGCAGGATCCCTTTGAGTTCTGATTTTTCTGACCTCTATGTGGATGACCTAAAACAGCAGCTTTTAAAATCAGCCAAAATACAAAAGGGAGGACATTCTGGGGACATAGGTAGGAAATAGGAAGACCCACAATGACAACAGAAATGGGTGAAGGTAACTTTCTTTCCTAATTGGATGATGAATAAGATAAAGATATAGCAGGAAGAGTCCATGGTGACAGTGGCTTGGGCTACAAAAGCGACAGATAGTTGACTTTGTTTCCTGGAGAAGTATGGTACTTTAAAATTCTCTAGATCAGCAGCTCCAACCTTTTGGGCATCAGGGACCGGTTCCATGGAGAAATGTTCTTCCATGGATTTAGATGGTTAGATGCAGAGGTGGTATTCAGCCAGTTCAGACCAGTTCTGGAGAACCGGTAGCAGAAATTTTGAGTAGTTTGGAGAACCGGCAAATACCACCTCTAACTGGCCCCACCCCCATCTATTCTCTGCCTCCTGAATCCCAGCTGATTGGCTGGGTTTTCTTTTGTTGCCCTGTACAGGAGAACGGAGCTGGAAAGCAGGTTAGTGGAGTGGGGAGGGAATGGGATTTTGCAGTAACCTTCCCCCAGGAGTGGGGAGGGAATGGAGATTTTACAGGATCCTTCCTCTGCCACGCCCACCAAGCCACACCACGCCCACCAAGCCACTCCCACAGAACTGATAGTAAAAAAATTTGAATCCCATCACTGGTTAGATGGTTTACATGGTTTTGCATGCTGCCTGCATCCTGCGGTTGGGAGTTTGCTTGTTTGTGCAATCCAGTTACTGGTATGCCAGTTCACAAATTGGGCGATGGGGACCCCTGCTCTAGATATCAGGTAGAGAACAAGATTCTATTGGAATGTTAATGCTACCAGTTCCTTATTTGTACAAAACAATAAACATTATGATTCCCTTAAGTCTTGCTTTAAATACAGATGATGACTACCTGGACACAACCATGCAGTTTTCTGGACAACAAAGTTTGCCACTAATTTCTTCAGATTTTTTTTTTACTTCTCAGCCTAGACTACAGTCCTGATGAATCTCCTAAACATGTACTTCTCCTTGCTTAATTTTTTTACCATTAGCTAAGACTGGATTGGTGTTTCAGTTGCTATGATCCACATTTTATACTCTGTCCATAGATACTGTATGTAATACATATAATATGTATATTGTGCTATAAATTCAACAGCCTTCTTCCCAGAAAAAGTTGCTTCTGCCTAACTTTATCTAATAACATCTGTCATTTTGCTGAAATAGGGCACATACAGGTATTCTTCTGTATTTCTCCCCAATTTTATCTTGGCAATTTTATCATTCCTAAATAAGCAGACCTATATGATGGAAGACATCTAAGTTAAGAGTGCAGATTTAACAGTTACCCTGTGGTAAGATGGGTGGACAGATAGATAGACAGACAGACAGACAATTAACTCAGTGAATTCATCAAGATTCTCTGAGTGAAGAAAGTCCAGTACTAACATCAAGCTATGCTAGCAAAATCTTCTTCCAGCAATCAAGGCATATTTTCATTTCAATGGGTAAAACAAAAAACTTGGGTTCAGCCATATTTTTGTCCTTGTACGCAGCTATCCTAAAACATCATGATTTGTTGAGAAATTCTACAGCAATGTGCAAATTAGAATAATTGACTTCTGCATAGAAGATGGACATAACTTTCTACAAGCCCTTCACAGCAATGCACTGTACTAGGGATATCTTCACAAACACACAGGTCACAACTGTGAATAGTTCAATAATTGTGCTACTTGCTAGCCAGAATATTACAGTTGCTCCTTTAGTATCCAGGATGCTATGGAAGAGACATTGTTGCTCTTTGGCTAGCATATATTCAAAAAAAGCTCTGCTACTTTAATTTGAAGACTTCTTAAGTCAGTATGTTACTACTTTCTTGTTTTCATTGAGTATCCAGAGTTCAAAAGATTGGTTCACACATAAATACTATTTCTCAATCCTTGATTAATACAGATGAACAAATGAACTGATGCTATAGGGAAGCAATCTCCCAATGTGTAGATCTTAATTTCTTAATTTCTTTAGCTAGCATGGCTATCTGGAAGATAACCAGGTTAAGGAAGCTTGCTCTAGGAAAGACTTGTGTTGGAGACGATGTGAGTTTGTATGGAGTCCTTTTGTTGTTACTCTACGATAGCCCATTTACATATACAATATGCACTTTGTCTATGTGTTCAGTTTAGTGTTTTATTACTGAGAAGAGTTAACATGAGAGTTAATAATATATTCACAAGAAATGATGTAAGGAATCCATCTAGAGTGAAGATCTTATTGAAATGTGCCTGGTGAATATCACTGTGAACCAAGAGTTCCTGCCAAGTCAACTTCAAACTCTCACTGGATTCTTTCAGGATTATTTTTCTTAGTTGGCTTTAGACACTTTTCCACTTTTCCAGTCAGATGAAGCCACAAGTTCATTTCATTGAGGCTTTGAAAGTGTGTGTGTGTGTGTGTGTCTGTGTCTGTGATATTGAGCAGAGAAGGAGGAAGTCTTACTAAACCCAGCCAGCAAGACTTCTGCAATGTGGTGGCTTCTCTACCTTCAAATAGCATAATTCCTGCTTTTTTGTGGCTGCAGTATATCTGAAAAGGGAACTGCGCTGTAAAAATCAAGTATCTCAATCTCCTTAACCAACTTCTAGGTTTTAACCTTTTTTTAATAGGACTGCTGCTTTTGCTTGGCTCCTATCTCTATCTATCTCGTTTTCTGCTACCATTTTAAGGTCCGTTAATAGATTTATTAAAAACAAAAAAGAAGGAAATGAACGACACAACAATACATCCTTTCCTTTCTCACAACATGGATTACCTAAAGGGGGGGTGGAACCAGATCAATAGAGTAACAACAACAACAACAACAACAACAACATAATTCTGGTATGAAAAAAATAAAATAAAAGGACTGGGAAAACTGATTATCTTTAGCAGTAATGTTGAATAGTAGGAAATCAAGCAACCCACACTACCAGAGCAGTGATAAATTTTGGTTGCTTGTGTAATGGGGGGGGGAGAACTTGCTGACTGTAATGCTCTTCTTTCCACCCCTTTTCAGAGAAGGACCTTGCTGCCCACCTACCGGCCTGCAACAGTGGGAAAGCATTCATATTGTTTATTCTGACATTTCAGCTGCAAAAGGTCAGCGCTAAGGGCAATTTCTATAGCAAGCAATAAACAGATTTTATATTGGATCATTTTTCACCAGATCTTTGCTTGTTCTTATTCAGACTATGGCACTTTGGACTCTTCACTCTGACATTTACAGAGAAGCTGAGAAAGGAACAGGGAGTTCACTGTCCAGAACAACATTGTAGGGATACATTTTGTCGGGTCTAAATTACAAATGCAACTTGCAAAATGCTTGTATGTAGTATTGCAGCAAAAATTAAGACTCTCGAGGACTTTAGTGCATACAGCAAATTTCATCGGGAGAGATTGAGAGAGGCTTCATGCTGAGTCCTAAAGCAGGGTCATTCTCCACTTTTGAAAAGTTCAAGTGTCATAATCCAAACTAGGACTTCTTTCAGGACAAAAGTGCAAGGGATCCGAGCACAACATAAAAATACAATAAAATTAATTCTAATTCAAAACCTATATTAAGATTGCAATGAAGACAGTTAACAATTAATCCCGTATTTTGTAATTTCCTTTTCTATCCCTGTAAAAGCTACTGTTTGTAACAACATCTGGAAGGACAGCAGTGGATCTGCCCAATAGTACTAAGGACTGCATCAGTGGTGGGATTCAATTTTTTTTTACTACCGGTTCTGTGGGCGTGGCTTGGTGGGCGTGGCAAGGGAAGGATACTGTAGAATCTCCAGTCAGAGGTGGTATTTGCCGGTTCTCCAAACTACTCAAAATTTCCGCTAACGGTTCTCCAGAACTGGTCAGAACCTGCTGAATACCACCTCTGAGATAGGTGACCACACAGATATGAAGCATTGGCTATCCCAAGGGTGCTTTTTCAAGAGCCAATTGGACTTTCTGTTTTTTCTTTGAAGATGTTTCACTTCTCGTCCAAGAAGCTTCTTCAGCTCTGACTGGTTGGTGGGGAATGGAAGGATTTATACTCCTTGCAGACAGCTGGTCATTTGCATTATTTTTAGAGAGTTGTTGAGGCCACCTGGAGGTTTATCTGTGTCCTCAGGGTCACCTGAGTGGTGCAAATGAGTGTGAAACCTTCTTGGAACTGTTGAAAGGACTGTATTGTAGACTGGAGATAGATGATGTTGTATCCCTCCCACTCTGTTCAATTTTGACATAAATGACCCCTTTGATCCCTCTTTCAAACCAGTGGTCCTCTCTGTCCAAAATGTGGACTTTGCTGTCTTCAAAAGAGTAGCCTTTGTCTTTTGAATGCAGATGGACTGCTGAATCTAGTCAGGGTGGATTTGTTCTCCTATGTTGTACCATGCGTTTACTTGGTTATTTCATCATAAAGTAGAAAATTATATTAAGTAGCTCTTAGTACTGACCAATCAATTTCATTGCTTCATTGGATGCTCATTTAAAAACCTGTAAGATATGTATCAAGCTTTTTGCCTATTCAGAAGCTTTCATATTATATGTGAAATAAATGAAGACATAACTTTTATTATATTTTTTTGGTTGAATAGTAGGTGAACTTTTAAAAACTTTATAGAGCTTATTTCTTAATCAGAAAAAGAAACAAAAGGAAATATGAAGCTTGTGCGTACTGTAAAATTAATGTGGAATATTGAGAACTGTAATTACCATAAGCAATAATAACCTAATCACAATC